TCTAGAAGAGGAGCTCCAACCAGAAGACATGGCAACCCTGGTAAACTTTATCACTCATTCTCATACTCATACATAGAAAGTATATGTTAACACTGGTTGAATGTGTTTGACAGGGATCAAGACCTAATTCTGTGAACAAGTGCAAGCTACTGGATTTGTCTTCATATGATGTTGTTGTTGCAGAAGGACGTTGGCAGACACAAGATGCCAATGCATTAGTTAATGGGCTTCCTCTCGGACCAGCAGCAGTGAAAATATTTGTGGATGCAGTGATTCAACCTGAGACATTTATATGGAGGCCAACGATTGATGTCATGTACCTTGAGGACTGTTTACAGTCTTCTGTAGCTTGGCCTGCCAACAAAGTTGTCTTTGAAAACCATGCAGATGCAACATGTCAGAAGTCTCCACTTCATCAGGCTTCTGCATCAACTCATCAAACAACAACAGAAAAGGCAGCAGCATCAGGAGGAACAGCACCATCATCAGGTCCACTAAATGCAGCAGCTGGTTATAAGTCTTCTGTTGAGATATCAAAATCCGCAGCCACAACAAAAGGAACGAAATCCGCAGCCACAGTTTCAAAATCTCTTGTTGAGAAGTCTCCAGCAACATGTTCAAAGCCTCCTGTAAAGAAAAGTCAGTTAGCTTCACCCTCCCCTCTACGAAGATCTCCGGTAAATTTAGCAGATGTTGTTACTTACTGATTCTGGTTATTATTATACATGAATTAAACCTGTTTATATTGTAATATGGCAGCGTAAAACTGGAGCTGAAGTTATCAAGGCTAATCAGAAGTGCAAGTTAATGGATATTAGTGGAAAGAGGCGGGTGGTTGGTGAAGGACGTGTGCATTCAATCGACCCAGACCAAAAGGTACACCATGTTCGCTTGGGGGCAAATGCAGCTAGAGTTTGGGTAGATGTAGTGAAGATAGATGATGCAGCAGTTTGGAGGCCATCAGATGAAATCGAGTATATGAGAGATTCACTTGGTTCATCTATTGCATGGCCAATGGATAAGTTGGTCATCTATTGAGTAGATGAAGAAACTGGGGTAAGTTTTGTAATTACTGTGATGCTTGTGTTTTGCTTTTATATCTGCTACTGATATGAGACTTTGTTGATTGTTGCAGGGAATGAAGAAACTTTGGTCCAGATTAGGTAGTTTTAATTAGTTTAAGACTAGACTAATCAGCTTCTGTTATGTACTTTGGAATCAGACTTGTTATGTCTTTTGGATTTAGACTTGTTATGTTGAATGATTCTGGTATAACTTTCTAACTTTTGAATTGGAATCAGACTTATGTTACAATTTATATTCAGACTTATGTTTTCATGTTTATATTATGCAAAACAGGTATAGAATCAAAATATATAGCTCTCTGAAAATATATATAATAGCAAAATTAAAAGCCATAATTAAATTAAGTATAGCAATTCTTCACTGTCATTGTAGAAAATCAGATATTATAGCACAAAACATGAAGCTACGAAAACAAATTAGACAGCAAGAACAAATTGCTAACGTAGAAGAACCTATTATAGCACAAAATTTGAATTGTCGTTACTTTTTAACAAAAATTTCAGCTGCTATATCAAAATAAATAACAGCAGTTAAATAAAGCTATTGTATCTAAAACTATCATAGCATATCAAAATAATGCTATCGTAGGGGAAACACCTACCATAGCTGCCGATGTCACAGCATTTGTGATTTCGCTATCAATAACATAAGATAGCAGATGGTTTGCGCTATCAATGAACGTTTTTCTTGTAGTGATGTCATGAACCGGTTTGTTGTTAGATACATCTCATTTTCAGTATTTGGTTTCTAGCTAAATAAGCTTAGCTAGTCATGAACTTAAACTTAAAACACCATGCAATGAAACCAACGTTTCACATTTCAAATCATACCCGAAGTCTTGTCGTTTACCGTGTGACAATAAATACCACACTCACTACCTTTTTTGAGACAAATTCGGATAAAACCAACAATCTCCAAAATGTTCACTTCCCAAATGTCGTAATCCATATATCATACTCAAGAAGAAGGTTTTTAACTATTATGAGGTCATGTGCAAAAAAAAAAAAATATTGTCAAAAAAATATTTAATGACATTTGGGAAGCTTTAGTTATGAACGCGAATTATACAAATATTCAAAACTTTTTCTACAGGGAAAAAAGAAAAGAAATCGAGACTCTTTTGAAATGCACCACAAGCATATGATACAAAAATAGTATTGCACATAGGTTTACAAATTTGGTTCTCCAAAAGAGATAAGTTTGATTCAGTTAGGTTCACTAAAGCATGAC